TTTTCAATGGGCTGGTAAATGAATACAAATGCTTGTTAAGGTTTGTAACTTTGCACATATATAATTGAAGATTTAAAAGAGAAGAAAAATAATTTACAAAAAAATTTTGTTATTGTTTTGTTGTTGTTTTTTGTAATTAAGGAAAAGTCTTTATTTTTATGGCGGGCATGATAACTCCTCACTGGAACATCAGAATCCGAAAATTCCAACGGTGTTAGAAAGAGTACATGTCTGGCTCTCGTATGAACTAGGATTATTGACTTCGCTCTAAAATTAACAAAATGGCGAACCTTTGAAATATTAATATTTTGGAAAATCGCCGATTTTTTACCAAAAACCAAAGTTAAAAAATAAGGAAGATCTTCACCGATTGGCTTTATCCTAGTTCATACGAGAGCTATACACTCCCAGAGAAACGTTGCAAAATTTGGAACCGATTGGATTATTAGTTTTTGAGTTATCGTGCCCGCCATTCGCAAAAGAAATGTTTAGAGAAAAACGCGTTTAAAGTTTGAGAAGCCCTTCAGCCGTCACTTTATGCTGACACAATAAATCGGCTATATCTTCAGCCGTTCTTGAGATTTTCACTTGAAATTTTGTAGAGACATTCTTTAATCAATGTAGATTCGAATTATATCAACAAAAATTTTGACCCCAAGAATGGGGGGGGGGGGGTGGTCCCCTTAAATTAATTACAAATATATGGATGTTTTAATAATAATAGACCCATGGCCTTTAGTTCCAATATGAAATTAAACCTGGAAGACCACATAATATACACATATACCCTTGGCCTATGTTTATACGATGTGGTCTTAGGATGATTTAAATTCTTCAGTTTAAAGAGTTTTTTCAAATTTTGAAAAAAAAATATTGTAAAGAAATCACTTTTGACTGTACGTATTAGAGTACGCCGTAAAGTTAATTGGCTGAACGATAATTCCGTGTATGCCAGATACTGTTAATAAATACCTAATTTTTTGTGTGTGTGGTGGAGTTGGCCAATCATGTTAATGAATTGGTTTCATCTATATCATTTCGCTCCATTTACAGAATAATTCTTTGAGCAAATAGTTCAACGACCAAAATCCAAATAAAATGAGACTACGACGTTGTAATAGACGATGCAAGTGCGAAAATGTCCAGTATTTAGTCACTGACTTTCCCGGTAGTGCAGTCTCCAATTATCCACCATAAAGTCAACATTGTCAAATTTCACTACCTGAACTCTAAAATTCATTTCAATAAAGCTTGACATTTCTGCGACGCTGACTCCGCACTTTGCTGTTCAACTTCGGACAATGTCTCATTTTTCTAATTCGACTGCGATGGACATAGAGGGAAAGAATAGGAAAATTGTCATATCGATCCAGGAAACGAAGGCGAATAACACCCGCAGTATTCAGAGTTTTGATGTATACAAAGTTTAAAGCAAGTATCGTACAAGACGTAAAAGTTTAGCATTCCTATTGCACCATTAAGTTCATTACAAGCCAATCTCGCTTAAGCTTGACTCTAGTGAACCATACATGAAATGTATAGGTTATTCGTCCAGTGTGTTACTACCGAGTTGGAGGTGTTTAACGTATACATTCCGCCGTTAAATAACTGTTTCCGCGTTATTTGTCAGAAGGGCATGGTGTTTGCCGAACAAATATATATTTCAAGGTTTTGGACGGTGAAAGAGGCCATATCCATGAGGTCATTTCACTGTCGTCAGACCGCCTACGTATTAGATTAATCAATAGATCACCCGACTTCATAACCACTAAACGTCATACTTTACCATGGAAAAGTCAATTGACAAGAATTCGGAAATATCACCAATCGTCGATTTCGAGAACTACCCAATACTTCTGATTCTCGGGCAGAAGAAAGGAATTTTCGGGTCATCATTACAGTTGCAGTCTCTCGCTATATACATGCAGGTTGTATAACCGAATAGAAACTTAATTGAGAGGCAGCGTGATTAGGAATGAGGGTGATAACCTCAGTATCGGAGTGAGTCAATTTTGACCAACAGATAAGTCGCTCTAGAACCCAGGAAGGAAGTATGATCCGATTTCTGTCTCTTTAAACGGCGTTAAGGGGAATGTTGCAAATACCACCAGAAGCTCAAATTCAGACAGATCGCTTGATCCTGATATTTATGGTGATGTTAAAGCTGCTAGATGAGCCAAGAGTAGAGTACCTCAGTAAAATCTTCAATTTGTCGTTAGCCAACCTTATAGTTCCCCACGTGCACAATTCCGACCACCCCAATGTTCTAGGGCTCACGTTCGATAGCCTTTATAAGTCGTCCGATAAGATCAGGAGCACGAACAAGGTTCTCAATCTGCAGCCTATGTTAACAAAATATACAGTGACGGGACGGTCTGCGGTAAACTACGCGGCTACTGTGTGGTCCGTCAATGCTAGTGCCATTGCATTAAATCGGACGAAAATATATATTGGAGCTATATCTAAATCTGAACCGATTTTCACGAAACAAGGCAGACATCACAGTAGGCTCAATTCAGTACGTTATGTCAAATTTCGTGCAAATCGAAAAATATATAGGCACTTTGGTACACCATTTATATTAAATCGGACGAAAATATATATGGGAGCTATATCTAAATCTTGATCGATTTTCACGAAACTTGGCAGACATCATTGTAGTCTCAATTCAGTACGTTATGCCAAATTTCGTGCAAATCAAAGGATATATGGAGACTTTGGTGAACGTTTACATGAAATCGGACGAAACTATATATGGGAGCTATATCTAAATCTGGGCCGATTTTCACGAAACTTGGCAGACATCATTCTAGACCTTATTCATTACGCTGTGCCAAATTTTGTGCAAATCGAAAGATATATAGGGATTTTGGGGCACCATTTACATGAAATCGGACGAAACTATATATGGGATCTATATCTAAATCTGGACCGATTTTCTCGAAACTTGGCAGACATCACTCTAGGCTTAATTTAATACGTTATGCCAAATTTCGTGCAAATCGAAAGATATATAGGGACTTTGGGGCACCATTTACATGAAATCGGACGGAACTATATATGGGAGCTATATATAAATCTGAACCGATTTTCACGAAACTTGGCAGACATTATACTAGACCTAAATGATTAGGCTGTACCAAATTTCGTGCAAATCGAAAGATATATAGGGACCGTTAACATTAAATCGGTTAAATATATATATATATATATATATATATGGAAGCTATATCTAAATCTGGACCGATTTTCTCGAAACTTGGCAGACTTCATTCTAGGCTCAATTCAGTACGTTATGCCAAATTTCGTGCAAATCGAAAGATATATAGGGACTTTGGGCACCATTTACATGAAATCGAACGGAACTATATATGGGAGCTATATATAAATCTGGACCGATTTTCACAAAACTTGGCAGACATTATTCTAGACCTAAATGATTAGGCTGTACCAAATTTCGTGCAAATCGAAAGATATATAGGGACCGTTTACATTAAATCGGTTAAATATATATATGGGAGCTATATCTAACTCTGAACCGATTTTTCCCAATTTCAATAGGGTTCGTCCTTGGCCCAAATAATCGACCTATGCCAAATATCATCCAATTCGGATCATAAATGCGACCTGTACTTTGTTTACAATTTAACATGGACAGACAGACAGACGGACATGCATAAATCGACTTAAAAAGTGATTCTATGCATATTCTAAAAAGGAACCATGTGTCTATCTCGTTTATTTTTGCCTGTTACGAACATATGCACTAAGACATAATACCCTGTACCTGGTGAAGGGTATAATAACATACACTCCACCTTATGGGGAGGGTATAATCTGTATAAGTGAATTCTTTTTTCTTGTATATAGGTCCCTATTTCAATGAGAAATACTAGGTAAGGTAATCCGACCATCTGTCAAATTTAATTTAGTAATATTTTTCATAGTTGGCAACATTGCGCGTCAAATTCGAGTAGAAACTACACACTTTGACAGTTAATCGAATAGTCAGCTGCGCTAAATAAAGTACCTATTGATTGAGCCGTGCTCTAATCGTTGACATTTTAGAAGAGCCTAAAAGTATGCAACATCTTCTCAACTAGTTTCATTATTCTGTGATTAAGAGTATATTAGTTAAGAAGGGGATTTGGTCTAATAGGAAACAATTTTCCTAAAAAATAAAAAAGAAACGTTGTGCCAACATTTAATCGTATAAACTACCCTTTGTTTTCCCTGAAAGTAATCATAATCCAAATAAAAAGCAACATATTTTAATAATTCTCTCCCTTTAAAAAACTTTTGTCATTTCAACTCTTGTGGAAATGACATTTTAAATATGGTTGGTAATTAGCATTGTTGTAGAAAAATATGTTTATTGGCGATTTTCCTAATCAGCCAGCTGCCTATATACTTAACAACTCACCCGTCCTTTATTTTAAATCTAATTACAACAACAAAAAAGAGGAAACCTTTTCACTGGACATTTTAATCCTTTAAACAAAACAAAGCAACGAAAAAAGTCGAAACTTTTCCTTTAACAAACTTACCCTTAGGCGATGAGCTTCATCCATTGTTGCCGAAGCATGATAGCTTAATACCTCCAGTGTAACACTTTGTTTGGCCATGGCGACAATGGCCTTCTCATACATGTGGGTATTGTGAATGCCCATGCCACAGAAAATGGCAAAGGCTTCAACGAAATTTTCGTCGTTTTTGGTGAAGACCTAAATGGGGGAGAGTTGGGAGAAAAATAAAATAACGAATTTAGAATGGATTTAAACAGCAAAAAATATCTTAAGAGGCTTACCAAATTATCAAATTTGTTAATCAGCTGAATTACACCAATAATTTGACCCAATGAATTCTTAATGGCCATACAGAGTATGGATTTGTGTTTGAAGTTTGAACCCTCATCTACACTGGGATCAAAACGATCATCCTCATAGGCATTGGGGACGTTGACGGTCTGGAATAAAATAGAATAAAAATATTTAGAGAGAAAAAATAATTTTATTTTAGGAAGGTGTTGAACTTACCTCCCCCGTTGTTGCCACATGCCCCGTAATACCAACATTTATGGGAAAACGTGATTCATATGGACTTGTACGATTTGTCGACTCCTCTTCGCTAAGGTCATTGGCTTCAAAATCGAATACCCGCGAAAAACTACCCTTCGAAGCCTCATGCACCAGCAGGATTTGTACTCTTTGGCATTGTATTAGACTCTGCATATGGGTTAGTATACGAAAGACCATGTGTTCGATGGTACTCTGCTCCTCGAATATCATGCGTGCCAAATCGAGCAACACCTGATTACGTTTGATTTCCAACTGGGATTTCTCATAGAGTTGAGCGTTACGCAGACCAATGCCACAGAATTGTAAATAGGAAGCAAAAACCTTGGAATGGTAAGAAGAAAAAGAAAAATGGAAGGGAAGACAGACATTAATTAATAGAATGCAAAGTAGACATTTTCATTAGGTTGCAGTTTCAAGAAGTAAAGGAAAGTTTTTTGTATGTGTATTTATTTTTGTAAAGATAAGCAAAGAAGAAACCTTCGGTAGTGAAAGGAAAGTTTTTAGTTGGAAGTTCATGATTTTCTGGGAAGGTGATTTCTGCGAGTAATAGTTTTAAAAGAAATAATAGGAAGGAAAGTAAGGAAAAGTCCAAAGTCGAATGGAAACGAACATATAATACCCTACACCGCTTTTCGTATACACAAGAGGTGACCCTACAAATTTTAAATTTAACCTATAACACTGTTGCACAAAATCGAGGTAAGGATATGAGAATTGGAAAAATCCTTATGGGGATGAATGCGAGGAGGACAAATTCGCCGTCACATACATGTTTTCATCGTCCTTTTCCTATTTTACCCGATCGTTGCTCAGAAGTACTAATAATAAATGTACATTATAAAGAATAGTCTGATTCTTCAGAAATATTTACAACAAATATATCTCATGATGCTAAACACGTTCATAAAATGGTCTCGTGGGAGACTGATACGGATCCTGATTTTATAATAAATAAATTGTCTACTCAAGAGTCAACTGGATGCGGGCTAACGGATGTATCAGATGTTCCTCTCTAATGATGTTGATGTTGGTTTTTTTTCCATTCGACTATCGATCAATATTTCATATTAATCGGGCGGAATTCGAGAAATTTTGGGTTTCATTTACATAAATTCCGATGGAATTTCGGCCGATGTAAAAAAATGTACATACATCATTGGGTATGCTGCAGCATAGCTCACAGGTCAAAATTCCAGCGCTAATTGGATAACCGTTGGATATTTGGTTCAGAATTCGTATAAAATAAGAAAAAATATATAGGAGTTATGTCTCAATCTGTACCGGTTTCAATGAAACTTAACAAACTTCATTTTAGACTTAATGTGGCATGTGCATGCTATACAAAATTTGGCCTCAACAAAACATCATTCTATGCTCAATTTAATATGTCCTGCAATTTTTCATGACAATGGAACAAATATTGGATGGTACATCGTTTACAGAAAATCAGACGAAGCTATATATGGAGACTATATCTTAATCTGCACCGATTTCAATGAAACTAACCACGTCTCAAAACATCCTCTCAATCGTACAAACATTGGGACTTTGGTGCACTACTGTAAAATCGGATGAAACCATATATGGGAGCTATACCAAGTCTAAAGCAATTTTCACGAATAGTGTTCTTCCTTGGCCCAAATAAGTAAGCTGTATCATATTTCATCCAGATCGATTCTTAAAGGCGACCTTTACCTTGTTTACAATTTTACATCAACAGATGGACGGACATGCGTAAATCGACTGAGAAAGTGAGTCTATGGATATTATTAAAAGAGGCCATGGGTCTATCAAGGACATACCAATTAATGATATCGGCCATTTTGCGGCCTAGCCTCAATATAACGGTACATCCCGATATTCTGTATTTTGATTTTTTTTACCGAACTGGCTCTTATTTGATTCATTGAATTGTTATTGGTTGCCAAATCTTCCTAAAAATACGATTATTCAAATAAAATGTACAAGATTATAAAATATTGACTCTTTTTGGGGGAGGTACCGGAGGAGAGGGCAGACGGGTCCCAACTTCGGACTTGATATAGGCTTCGTAAAGATAATAGGTTGTGCCAAGTTTGGTTCAAATCGGACATTCCATTAGCCTGATATTGGATTTCTGGGGGAGTGGACCAATGGTCGCATCATACTACTTGATCTAGGCTTGGTTAAAAAAAGAGGTTGTACAAAGTTTGGTTCAAATAGGATAGTCTGTTCGCATGATATTATAGAGAGTTATCGTGCGCACCAGCCAGCCAGCAAGACATACGGACAACGGACGGGCATTTGTAAATCGACTTCAACTTTTTTGAAACGGATTTGGGCCAATGAAACATGGATTCTAAAACCAATACTTTGATTAAAGTGTATATATCCTGATTAGTCATAAGGCTGAGGGATTAAAAATGATCAATATTGGTCCAAGTTCGGTTATGGCCCTTATACAACATTACTTTAAATTTTCGGATTTTGGAAATTTTTAAATAGGTTTTTCAATTGGCTTTAATTATATATTTTTGCTTCTCCGATTGATGGTAGCTAGTATTAGTCATTTTGAGGATTTCAAATATATTTTTGAACAGAGTTGCTCCTAATTTGATATTTTGAGTTCTCATTGGGTAGTAAGACTTTCTACTAAAGTTTTAAATACGGGTCGGTCATTGGGTATAGCCTAGCCCCTTATAGGTAAATTGATCTGCCCTAGGCATATTTTCCAATCGAAGTGACTTTAATCCGGGACCTTGGTTCTGGTATTTTTCAATATACGTTTATGGTTCTACATAGTCCCCATTCAGAGGTCACGCGCCGTCTTCGTTATGTTCTAGGACATCGAACACTTTTCCAACTTGAGTGTCTGTTGTTTGGTATTTCGTCTTCTTCTGGCAGCAATTTACTATTAAGTCGCCCTTATATAAAAATTAACCGTTGATTTTAGGTATTTTGAATGTACATCTCATGGAGAAGGACCCGATTGAATATCTTTCCATAAAGAATAATAAAAACCAGTAAGGAAAGTAGTAAAGTCGGAAGGGGCCGACTATATGATACCCTTCACCACTATGGGTATATTAGACAGGACTATAACATAAAATTGGATGACTTCAAACAAATATAAATAGGTCATCCGTTGGGCTATGTCTGTACTTCTAGAAAACGCAGCTACGTAAATCTATGCTCAATTTTGTACGTTGTGCAAAATTTGATGTCAATCTGACTAACATGAGGAGTTTGATGCCCAATTTACTTGAAATCGGGCGAAAATATATACGGAAGCTCTATCCAAATATTGAGCGATTTCAAACAAACTTGTCACAGGTTAAGTTATACTAATTTCAGAACGTTTTGTTCCTATTGGTTCCTTAGTACGTCAATTACTTAAAATCAATCTATAATAAAAGGGAGCTATATCTAAATCTGGACCGATTTTCACGAAACATGGCAGACATCATTCTAGGCTCAATTAAGTACGTTATGCCAAATTTCATGCAAATCGAAGGATATATAGGGACTTTGGTGCAGCATTTACATGAAATCGGACGAAACTATATATGGGAGCTATATCTAAATCTAGACCGATTTTCTCCAAACTTGGCAGACATCACTCTAGGCTTATTTCAGTACGTTATGCAAAAATTCGTGCAAATCGAAAGATATTTAGCGACTTTGGTGCACCATTTACATCAAATCGGACGAAACTATATATGGGAGCTATATCTAAATCTGGACCGATTTTCTCCAAACTTGGAAGACATCACTCTAGGCTTATTTCAGTACGTTATGCCAAATTTCGTGCAAATCAAAAGATATATACGGACTTTTTTTTATAACCCCCATTAACGAATCCCGAAATATATTAGATGTTTTGAAGGTTCACCTCTTGTGATGCACAACATCAACGCAATCCAGGAGAATCGGTAAAAGCAAAGCATTTTTCAATTGACGGGATTTGGCGTGTTTAACCTATTGTTACCGAGGAAGCACAACATTGCGGAATTGTCTTGAAGATATTTGGATAGAGATAAAGCCAATTCGAATAAGGACCCGTAGCAAGAAAAACTTGCACTGGAAAGGTTCTAAAACGGTTGTTTGGACGCACAAATATGAACACAATACCCTCCCAGTACAAAATGTTTCAGTCGATAATATCAAACGGGGTACCCTGTATATCACTGAAATATTTTCTTTTACGGGAACTAGTCGCAACTACTATCTGTGCAAAATCGATTATTTATGATATTTATTATTCTTAATTCCCGAACTTATATTGGTTAAAAGAGTCACTACCAAATCTAACTTCATCTTCCTTTTTCCACAACAATCAACAACCCTTATAACCACTATGTAAAATCCCTGTCGAAAAACAATTAACCACTTTACAAAACTTTTGCAACTAATTGGCGGTTTTTCTCGTTAGTGTTTCCAAGTTACCTGTAGTTGGGTGTGTGTGTAAGTGTTAAGAGACAGTTTTCATGTAATAGTGATACCCTAACATGAGGTAATCTTCCTCAAAAAGTCTGTAACATTTAGTGGCTTTTTAATTTGCTTATTATACCACAAAAATTCTGTGCTCGTTTATACGAAGTTTATTTTTAGCGTTTGTTAAAATTTTTAGATTTTAGATGCTGTTAGTTTTTGAAAATTTAGAAAACTTTTTTTTATAAGGTATGAAGAAAAGAGAAAACTTGTTCATCTTTGGGCAAAAAATCCTTAAAGTTTTGTCTGCTACCATCACCATTCTCTCCTTAAAAACTTAGTGGTCATGTTTCATTTGTGTTCTAAAGTTTTAACAGATACAACATGTCTTCACTGTTTCGAATTCAAGGAATGAATGGGTATGTCATGGTGTATGAGATAATAAAGTTTTCGTACAAAACTAAACTAAAAAGCATTTAATTTTTTTGCTAAACATAATAGTTTTGGAAGAAAACTTGAAAAGAAAGCGAACAAAATTGCGTTGAATGTGAAAACAATTGAAAAAAGACAGGGTATGGAAAATGCGATGACTAACGACAATGGATATTTATTGATTTTATTTGAAACATCTATTGAATGTTGAATGCTTAAAAGATGTTGTTATTAAAAAACTGTTCTAAAATTTATTAAAAATAGCTATAGAGACTTCAATAATGACAAGTATCGGCAGAAATGTTTATACCCTTTACCAATAAAATCGTTCGAGAGTTGTAGGCTACGTCATGGTAGTAAATAAGTGCCAGGAAAAAACGAACATATCGAAAATGTACTCACAGTATAGAGGCCTATATATAAACATGGTCTGAAAATGTTCTGTAAAGAAGTTCTTTACCCATCAAGTTCCCGGATTATCAGATTACAATCACTTCGTAATAGTAAAACATAGTCACTTCGGTCGGAAAATGCTTGTTTCTATATATGAGTATACCCAATGATATACCGATATTCATCACTTTCGGTAGTAAGATTTCCCATCCAATGTAAAACATACTCTTAAAAATAACGAAAATTAGGTGTACCTATATATAGGGACTATGCCAGATCATGGCTCGATATTTGTAATTTCTACTAAGAGACCTTTTGTGACCCAACATGTTGAAAACGCCGAAATTTTGGGAAATCGCTTTATGGGACTATTACCAATTGTTGGCAGGAAAATTTGAACCTAAAATATAAATATTAAATTACAGCTTTTTTGTTTCAAAACCTTGACCGAACCCACCCCACCAAAAGAAGCCAAATTTGTCGCTACCCACAAAAGTAAATCAATATTGAGACAATAATCGACGACTTATGAAGGTCATTAAATAAAGTCGTTAGAAACTTGCTGTAATCGATAATTAGGATTATGGGGTTATATGGGGGATATATCAAAAATTGGACCCAGAGACCTCATATTCCACTACAATATATGCTTTGACACTAATAACATGTGAGCCAAATTTTGGCGGTCTACGTCAAGTGGTTCGCTTGTTTATAAGTTTATATTTTTGGGTAAATACTCAAAATTGGGGTACTTATGTATGGGGGCTACCAGAAAACGTTGATCTACATCGGTAAATGTTTGCATGGATATTTGTTACCAATAGAGAACTCTTTGTGCCAAATTACAGCCAATTTGATCGTAAAGTGTGTCTAATAAACAATAAATACCTTAATCGGGAGGTATATATAAAAACTTGACCCAGAGACCCCATTTCCCATACCAGTTGTTGTATTGATATAAAAACCATCTGAGCCAAATTTTGGCCGCCTACGTCAGATGGTTCGCTAGTTAATGAGTTTATAACCAATTTTTGGGTAAATATTCGGGTATTTACCCAAGTATTTACATACATATTTAAAGAATTGTAAAACTAACCATTTTAAATATATCTATCTATTAATGCCTCCTTCAAATTTTAAATCATTTTGATGGACCTGATGAAGGTTGTTTCGGCATGAGGTTGATTGACTTCGCGGCAGTCAAAAATATTGTAGTTAGCAGCACCAGATTCAAGCATCTCGATATACGCAAGGCCACCTGGATCTCTCCTGATCAAGCAGCAAGAAATCAAATTGATTATGTTGTGATAGACGGATGGCATTCATCCAGTGTTTTAGACGTCCGATCGACCCGAGGAGCGAATATCAATTCGGACCATTACCTTGTGGCAGCCAAGGTACGCACCCGTCTTCTACAAACACAACAGGTAGCCGAAGCCTACTCCGCTCAACTTACCCATCTGCTTGAAGAAAGCACTTCTTGTCCCGATAATAGTATAGAAGCACAATGGCAAAGAATTGCCCACTCCCTACAAACTGCAGCAAAAGCAAAACTTGGGTACAAAAACCACCACCAAGAAACCTATGGTACGATCAGGAGTGTCGTAATGCTACTGATGTGAAAAACGCAGCGTATAGGACAACCCGGCAGACAGTAGCAACACGTAACGTGATGGAGAATTATCGGGAGGAAAGGAGAGATGAGAAACGTATTTTCAGAAAAAAGAAGAAAGAGGTAGAAAAACGTAAGCGTGAGCAAATCGAGATGTACAGGAGTCGGAATGACGTCCGAACATTCTACCAACGGGTAAAACACCAAACCTAAGGCTTTGGTGCAGGCACATCCTCCTGTAGAGATAAAGAAGGAAACCTGGTGACAGATACAGACAGCGTGCTGAGAATCTGGAAGGAGCATTTTGAAAAGCTTCTGGTATCAAATAGTGGCGTTGAAGAAGATACCCCAGAACCAATAAGAGATGATGGTATAGAGTGTATACCACCTAGCCAAGATGAGGTTATAAAAGCAAATAATCGGCTCAAGAACAACAGCCGAACTATTCAAGACTGGTGGCCGGATGCTGGTCAGGAGCATGCACCAGCTGATTAGTACAATTTGGCTTGATGAATGCATGCCCACTAATTGGAACCTCAGCATCCTGTGTCCCGTGCACAAAAACGGAGACAAGACGATATGTGCCTACTATAGAGGGATAAGTTTCCTTCACATCGCATATAAAGTGCTATCCAGTGTGCTGTGTGAACGATTGAAGCCAATGGTCAATGACATCAATGGACCATAGCAATGCGGAATGGTGGCAAATCCACCATTGACCAGATTTTCACTCTGCGCCAAATCCTGAAAAAGAACCACGAAGAACACATCGACACATACCACCTATTTGTCGACTATAAAGCTGCATTCGACAGCCCTATCCGTTCAGTGGTGTTTAAAGCCATGTCTACGTTCGGCATTCCTGCAAAATTAATACGGCTATGCGATAACTTTAAGTGGCACAAGATCAGCAGTTAAAGTAGGAAAGGACCTATCGGAGCCCAACGCGCAAGACGTCCAGTAGACTCGGACCAATTGTGAAACTTGAGAACTACAACTTCGAGGTAGTCAACGATTTTGTATACCTTGGTACCGCCATAAATAAAACTAATGACATCAGTTTCGAAATTCGGAGAAGGATTGTGATGGCCAACAGATGCTACTATGGTCTAAGTAAGCAGTTTAGAAACAAGGCCACTTCCCGCCAGACCAAACTCACACTTTACAAGACTCTGATACTACCCGTGCTATTATATGGATCTAAAGCATGGGTACTTGCGCAAGCAGATGAGGCAGCTCTTGGGGTGTTTGAAAGAAAAATTCTCCGAAAGATCTACTGGCCAATCTGCGTCGACGGGGAATATCGGCGTCGAATGAACCATGAGCTTTACAATTTGTACGCGGATATCGACATAGTCAGTCGTATTGAGCTGCAGCGACTACCGTGGCTAGGCCATAATGTCCGAATGAATGAAAATGCCCCAGCTCAAAAGGCATATAAAAGCGAGCCTTCTGATGAGTCCCGTAGAAGGGGAAGGCCACGGATTAGATGGAAAGACCAAGTAGAAAACAACATCTTGGAACGTGGTCTTCCAAATTTATGGATTTGTGCACAAGACCGACGCGCTTGGAAATCTTTTTTAAGCTCGGCTTATGGAACAACCGTTCTCTAACAAGCCAGCTAAGTAAGTAGATTAAGGTCGTTGTTTTTTAAGTAAGTAGATTAAGGTCGTTTTACGAAAAATTGAGTTTCGGATTTTTTCTATGATAACACATTACTTCGACCCTTAGACTTTGCAATACAAAAATATGACTTTGGAAGGTTCTGCACTTAGAAAAGATATCCATACCTTCTATCGTCTATAGATTAAAGACCCACCAATTTTAACCTTTTTACAGGTTGTATGAAATTTGGAGTTGATCCTTGATAGATTATTTATCATAGAAGTAATTTATTCAGATGCATAGAAGGCCACAAGCAGAACTTTTGGAGCTCTTCTTTAAATATAACACTTTCTGCAAAAAAATAAAAAAAAATCCATCTATAGGTCATTTATTAGTTAATGAGCTTATGGAGGTCTACTGTATATAGAATACTTTTCGGTATGTGATATACAAAATACTCGGCCGATGGAGCTCTCATATTGAAGGAAGAGATCTGCCTGATTTATTTTGTTTTTAGAAGAGCTCATATAAGTCTGTAAGTAAATCACTTCCCGAGATTCTCCAAAGGCATTATGTTCGTAACAGATCTCCAGAAGGTCTTTTGGAGCTCTTCTATAAATATGACACCTTTAGCAACTGTTTTATAGAGAAACCAACTTTCGAGAGGTCTTCTATAAATTGAAGAGCTTATGATGGCCTAAGATAAAAAGAATTCTTTGCGGAGCTATTTTTATGCCATATATTTTATAAGTCCGTAATATAAAGATCTTCCAGTTGTATATTGTCTATATAAGATCTAAAAGCTGGTAAATTGATAAATTTCGGAGTTGTTCTATAGAGATGGTGTTAACTTCTGGAGATCATATTTGGCCTTCTTGACTATGTTTATAGCAGGTCACTAAACCAGGTCCTCTTGGGGCGCTTCTATGATCATAGAATAATTATATTTTATTTCCAACAAATCTGGTAAATATATATTGATTATAGACTCATTATTCCGCCCTCACATACATATTCTAGATTTATTTACTTAAAAATATAGAAAATTAGTTATTTTTAGAATTGTGTCTAAGGATAACATATATCTTTATGTATTTGTCACCAGGTCAAGAACATATTTTCATGTTTTTGTTATTATTATTTTTAGTGTTGTTTTTGTTGTTCTGTTTTTATTCTAGACTTACCTTTTCATCAGTTTCTGAGAAACATTCTCCATTCAATTTATTAATGACTTGGGCCACACCAATGACATCACCCGATGAGTCCTTGATTGGCATACAAAGTAATGCCTTTGTACGATAACCGGTCAACGTATCGATTTTACAATTAAAACGTTCATCCTGTTTGGGAAGATAGGAAAAAAGAGAAAGAGGGATAAAAAATTGCAGGAATAACAAAAAATGTATATAAAAAGAATTTAAGTAATTTAAAGATATTTGTTTGATTCAAGTGAGAGGGAGTCCTTAAGGTTATTACTCTTAAGGATTATGCTTAATAATTAATGATATATAAGAAGTTAAGAGATTGTTATGAAAACAACGGCAACAAGGTCAACACATTTATTAATGTCATATTATGAAATTTAATTGCAACCATTAATCATTAAGAAATGATGATGATGGTCTTTAGGTTTTGGCCAGTTTGATTCAGTTATAACGTTTGCGGGCAAGCAGAGGCGTTTGAAAATTGAGGGACGATATTTAAAAAATCTGTAGATAAAGAATTTAATTTAAACTCTTTATTTGCTCTAATAGTTGGTATTTAAAATTTTTCGTTTCCTCTCAAATATAAACCACTACGCCACTGTTCTATTATTTCATTTGTGTGTGTATTGAATCCTTGTCTTTCTGGATATGATGAATTTAAATAAATTTATAATTTTGCTCACACATTTGATCTTTTATATTATAAAGAAACCAAATATCCTCCCAAATATATATCCCTCTACGCCACTGCCCTTTTAGGCAATTCCGTATCATTTATATGAATCTCACATCTTTTCCTCAGAGTATAATTAATCTTTTCTTTCGTATTCTTTATTTTGTGTATGTGTGTGGCAAATTCGTTTGCTTTTGACTTTTTAACAAATAACGGTACTAAAAGATATCACAAAAAAGCAACTGCATGTAATGTCCATATTTGTCTTCACATGTTTGAATCCTTATATCCCTAACTTGTCGTACACATGTTCCATATACTCGTACATGTATAGCCGTAGATTCAAACTGAAAGCATTGTCAATGATAAGAAAAATTGCAAGCAGATCAAGAGAAATGTCCAAAAAGATTTACAACATTGTCGATTCCCAAAAAAGAAAACTTCTCAAATGCAACTGCACAGCAACGGTCATATTTCAATATATTTTGACATATATATATGAAACGAAAGGCTACTAAATATTGGGGTGGAAAAGGGAGAGAAAATTTAAAAAAATAAAATATATTTTCAAAAAATCCACAATCTAATGTACTTACAAAAAAAAAATTAGTAAATCTAGTATCAGTCCTACTAAATAAGTATTAAAAAAATAGTCCCTCTAAAATAATTTTTAAAAAATCTACGCCATGATAGTCCCTCTAAAATTATTTTTAAAAAATCTACGCCATGATAGTCCCTCTAAAATTATTTTTAAAAAATCTACGCCATGATAGTCCGTCTAAAATTATTTTTAAAAAATCTACGCCATGATAGTCTCTCTAAAATTATTTTTAAAAAATCTACGCCATGATAGTCCCTCTAAAATTATTTTTAAAAAATCTATGCCATGATAGTCCCTCTAAAATTATTTTTAAAAAAATCTACGCCATGATAGTCCCTCTAAAATTATTTTTAAAAAATCTACGCCATGATAGTCGCTCTAAAATTATTTTTAAAAAATCTACGCCATGATAGTCGCTCTAAAATTATTTTTTAAAAATCTACGCCATGATAGTCCCTCTAAAACTATTTTTAAAACTTCGTGCAAATCGAAGGATATCAATGGACTTTGGTGCACTATATACCTAAAATCGGACAAAAATATATATGGAAGCTATATCTAAATCTGAACCGATTTTCACGAAACTTAACGCACATAATTATAGGGTTTATTTAGTACGCTATGCCAAATTTCATGGAAATCGGAAGATATATCGGTCTTCATTGCGCCGTTTACGTAAATCAGACGAAAATTTTTATGGGAGCTGTATCTAAATTTGAATAGATTTTCACGAAACTTAGCACACATCATTCTTGGCTTAATTCAGTACGCTATGCAAAATCTTGTGAAAATCTAAGGATATAAAGGGGCTTTTATGTACTATTTACATAAAATAGAAGAAGAAAACCAGTGAGCGGAGCAGTATAGTCGGACGGGGCCGACCATTACGATACCCTACACAACTACCACTGAACTCAAACTTTCTACGGATGTGTATTCCGAACCTGGGGCAATATTCCGTGATATTTGCACA